ACGCTCTGTCTTCTTGGTGCTTGGGGGGGGGGGCAACGGGGGGAGGGCTTCTAGTGTCCCGGCCCCACTGCTGGACCTCCTGAGGGCACCTGGTATTTCTGGCCACTGTGTGACACAGAGTGTTGGACTGGAGGGGCCCCTGGCCTGATCTAGCATTGGCTTCTCTTATGTTCTTATGAGGGTGGGGCCGGGGAGGTACCCCAGTGGGGTGCAGTGCCATAGAGGCCACCTTCGAAAGCAGCCATTCCCCATCCCACCCCCAGGAACTGATCTCTGTCGCTTGGAGACCAGTTGTAATTCTGGGAGATCTCCACGCCCACCTGGAGGTTGGTGGTAACTGTGCATCAGCAAAGGTGGTGTCGTTGGTGGGGGATGCCCCGTTGCATTTCTGTCCCGCACCTTGTTCCAGTTCGACAGTCCCACTTTCAAGAATTAAGAAGAGAAGAAGAGATTGGATTTATACCCCGCCCTTTGTTACCCGAAGGCGTCTCAGAGCGGCTTACAATCTCCTTTCCCTCCCCCTCTCCACCACAGGCACCCTGGGAGGCAGGTGGGACTGAGAGAGCACTTTTGAGGACTGCCCTTGAGAGAACAGCTCTGAGAGAACTTGTGACTGACCCAAGGTCCCACCAGCAGCCGCATGTGGAGGAAGTGGGGAATCCAACCCGGCTCTCCCAGATTAGAGTCCGCGCTCCTAACCACTATACCAAACTGGCAACATGGCAACATTTTCAGGTGGGGTGAGCAGAGGTTGGTTTGTCACAAGAGAAGCCGGTAGGAGAGATCTTGCAGGAAATCAGATTGTTGACTTGTTTGGTTGGTTGCTTATCTTGCTTTTTTCCTCCACGGTGGGAAAAATAAAATTTAAATCTTTGGTCCTCGCTCTGTGGCCCGGGAGCCGTCTGTGGCGCTTTGATGTGCCACCTGCAGGGGGTCCGAGGACTGTCTCCCAGTGTGGTGCCTGTCCTGTATTCCAGGAAAGTGGGCATGGCCCTTGCCCAGAGGGGCTTGTGGCTGGCAGATGGTTCATACTTTGATACTGCCACTGCTGGAGGGACTGGAGGACGGGTTAATCTGCGCGCCCTCCCTCAGGTGCGGGCTTCGTGCCAGGAATGGAACTCAAGGGCCTCTTGCCCTCTCCTATACCCCCCCCAGCCCTTCTCTGCAGCCTCTGTGTTTTCATCCCAGTTCCCATGTGGTTTTTAACATAAGGAAGCATTTTAAAAAAAACATTCAGCCTAATAAAGCGGTCTAGAGAACTTGAAAACTTACACGCTGTTTTGTGTGCTTAAGTCTGACTCGCAGTGTTCCCTCTAAGCTGAGCTCATGTGAGCCAGTTCACAGTTCTTTAGCCTCCAGCTCACACGTTTTTATCTCAGCTCAGGAAGGAGGGCTCCAGAGCAAACTAATTGATGCAGCGGCCAAATCACCTGCTCACAACTTTAATGCCAGGAGCTCACAAAGGAGAATTTTTGCTCACGGGACTCCATAACTTAGAGGGAGCATTGCTCACAAGCCCTTTTCCTCACTAAACTAAAATAATAAGCACACATAAATATAATGTGTGTGGTGCGTTAGTTTACCTTTACTGGCATTATAAAGGAAAAACATGGAGACAAATACGTAAAAGGACTGAACATAAAATAAATCGGGAATTAAAATGTCCCAGATTTACAGTATATTATTTTGTATAAGCACAGCAGCATAGAAAAACTTTGCCACAGAATCAGTTACGTTGCCATCAGTGTTGTTAAGCTGAAAAAACAAATTATATGTATCAGGAAAATCCATAATGCTGGATAAAACGGAAGACAAAATACTCTGTCTTTCTAATATTATTATAACAAGGACACTCTGTCTAATATTATTATAACAAAAATGGTCCTCTCTTCCCCATTTGATCCTTACAGCAGTCCAGTGAGGTGGGGCATGCCGGGGGTACATGTTTGACCCGAGGTCACTCAGTTGAGTGCCTTGGCAGAATGGGCACTCGCGCCCCACACTGCTGTTGTATTCCAAAGAGCTGCCGGTGTGTTGTTGATTTGCATTTTTGCAGTTCATAAGCTGCTCTGAGCTCCCACTGGGGAGGAAAGCAGGATACGCAAACAAGTTGATTTGCGTGATTTCCCAAAAGATGCGGCGCACTCGGGTCTCGAACTGCTGAACTACCGACCTTCCACAGCCTGCAGTTCAGCGTCTTAACCACTTGGGCCACCGCAGTTCCAGTAGTTCCATTTAATTTGTATATATGATTTTCCTGCGATAAACACAGAAATCTGAAGTAACAGTGCTGTAAGCAGTACGTGTCAATAAGCAAAATGCTACTGAAATACATATTTGAAGGTTACATAGATACAGGGCTTTTTTCTCTGGGGGAACGTGCCCGAACGGAGTTCTGGAACTTCTTTGACAAAATTCTTCCAAAAATGTTTAAAACTTCCTGAGTTTTCAG